AATAATGTACTCACCTAAAAGTTGGAAGATATTTGTTTCTTCTTTATTTGTAATAATTTACTATTTTACATCTCAGAAAAATGTCCTTGCAGAGAACAGTCGCCAAAAGAGCACTTAGCAAGTACCACTAAGCCAACAACTTAATGAATTCTTGTGAAGTATCAAGTACATAAAACAGTCACTCCTACAATGATAGTGTAGCCCATGAAATAAGTAATACCTGGTTTGGTAGAATCAGTGTTACTCTCTAGACACTCAGGTACTAAAATCATGTGGAAATGTTAATATATTTTAAATTAAGTCACTTTTCACTCAGAATTAGGACAAAGGCTTTCCAGTATCAGAAAAGAGAACTGCTTCCAGGTCAAGTGTTGCACAATATGAGACTTTCAGGCTAAGGGCAGTGTTTAGACCTTTTGTGTTGACAGCATTTTTTTTGGCACTTTCTAGTCCTCACAGTAGTGAGTTATAGATCTCGAACTGCTATAATTGTCAACCCTATTGTTAATACTAGGAGACAGACAAGAACCATCGACTACCATCAAATTAAAGGCCTAATCTTTTACCAGCATCTAATGCCAACATCTTCCAAAGGGCCTGATCCACTTCCTAACTAAAATATGAGTGGGATAAATTTACCATAGTCACAAAGGAGCAGACCTTGGCATTGCAAGGTTTAAAGCAAAGATCTCCTGTTCTTTGACTTTAGATAGAAAGGGAAATTGCACATGGGCCAGAGCTCATTGCTGTTTACTAAGGGACCACACCCCTCCCATCATAGCTTTTCTAGTTCAGGGCCAGACAATAAAGAAGGGAATTACCAGCTAGAATAAGGCTTCAAACCTTTCTTTAGCTATCTGAATAGCTTTAGGTTGTCATACATAAATTCTGTAGAAGGGAAATAAATTACTTTGTGTAATATCAGAATATCAGTAAGCAGAACTACACTGTTAGTTTTCTTTAATAAATAAGAAAGGAACAAAGAAAAAGAGAGGGAAAGAAGGAAAGAAAAAAGAAAGAGGAAAAGCAATCAGAAGGAATTCTGATGTCAATATTTAATAGTGCATACAGTATGGTAAGTGGAAGATTAAACAAAGGAATCCAAATGACCTTACAGAACAATCTTGCTCTTTAAGATAAAAGGTTTTCTCCATATTTGTGGCAGAACTGAACTAAAGGAAACATTTTTTTCTTCCATGGTTTCATGTTTTCACAAGCTAAAAGGAGAATTACCAAAAAAAAAAAAAATACATTGTTTCTATTCTTTCCACATTTGTTCAGAGAAATAGACAAAAACCAGTCTGCCATTGTCCTATCTAGCACTGGTTTTGTCATAAGGCTCTTAAGGAGCTTAAAAGTAACCGGATTGAAACAATAGATATGCTGCCCATTTTATTTACAAACACGTTGGGCCCAATTCATCTATTTTCCCTGACATCTTAAATTATTAGAGAAAATGGTATAATAATTAAATGCCACATTTCTTGAAAGTGAATGACATTTTCTCCCTCCCAATTTTTGTTTTTCTAGAAACAGTAAACAATGTAAGAATGTAAGTTAGGTCACAGCAGAAAGGTCATATGCTACTATTTTAAAGCTTTAATGTCCAAATTTAGTGAAGTAAAGGGACTTGACCTAAAGATACAGTTACCATAGTTTATATGTGTTCATTCAGATGACAATTTTTTTCACATAATCTCTAAAAAATCCCCCGAGCATCCTTAGGTTAGAGAAAGAGGGCTCCTGGTATTTAAAAAAGTACTTACTTAAATTTATATGCTTCAGACAATAGGGTTTAATGTATAGAATTAAAGTGTCTTGCCTGAGAATGGTCAGAAACCTTTGTCTGCATGGGCTAAGTTAGTTAAAGAATGAACTTTCTTTCCATATCTCCAAACTGAGAGACTGCCTGAAGATGATCTTTAAAATTCTTCTCAACTCCAAAATCCGGTCACCAACATATAGTATTTTATTTAAATATGGAGAAAAAAGGCCTTGTTTTGGCTGTTATTAACTCCAAAATCCGGTCACCAACATATAGTATTTTATTTAAATATGGAGAAGAAAGGCCTTGTTTTGGCTGTTATTTTCTCAGTCTTTATGTAATGTTCTACAATATTGGCCATATTTGGTGGCGGGTTGCCCCAACCACCACCGGGGAATGAGTTTATTTCCCATTCATCCTGGCCCAACTAATGTTAGACCCTAATAAGAAAATACCATGTTTAATTTGTAACACCTATGTCTGGTCATAGAAATACTGTAAAGCCCAAATTTAGCTGTGAGGCTCCACTGAAAGAAAAAGCAAAAGAAAAGAAGTACATACATTTTATACAAATGAAAAAGCACTGACTTTTTCATTTGTATGACCTTTCATGACACTTTCATCTCTGCTGTTTCTCATCTATGCTGCTACTCATAATTTTGTGTAAATTTAAAAACTTTTCTCCTGTTTGCTGCTTAGGTTCTTATTGTGATAGAAAGTATACATACCACAGAACTATTTTCCAAAAGTTTCATGTGACCATCAACAATGTCACTTATCAAGCTCTAAATTTCTGGAATGATGTTGACCAGTAGCAGGCTTTCTAAAAATGCCTTCTAGATCACATCTACCTTTGTGACAGTATCGCTAAATAAGTTGTATCAAGTGGAACATGCCAGTATGTTTCACAAAGTTAACTGAACCTAGCATTTACTGTTGCTATAGAAACAAACTACCATAGCTGAATTTAAAAGGTTGGTACAGAATCAATTGGGCAGACATGAATGGTTCAAATTAAGCAACTGTCATCCTCTAGTCATTAAGAATTCAAGACTATAATGAATGAAACTCTCCTCTGATCCAATAATGGGTTAATCCTTTCTTAATATCAAATATCTTCCAGTAGAACTCAGCAGAGTTCTGGCTGTGAACAGTTTATGCCTTAACGTTTTGAGTGACAATACTGTACTTGAATACTTGAATTCCTGTCTCTTTTATGAATGAGTCATCACTAATCCTCAAATGAACTGTTAATTATAATAAATATTGTCCAGATGTTATAATACTTTACTGGTGGATTAATAGGTTTCCCCCAAACCTTTTACCTTATGCTCTAATCATTTACAGGCATTTTGTGGATGAAAGCTTCAATGCTCTGGGAAGAACTAACTAGAGAACTAACTGCCTTACAGAAAGCCATTGGGAGGAAACGTCTATAAATCTGAAAACAAGAACAAATTTTAAAAGTTGTTTAAAAAAAAAAAGGAAAGAAAGGAGATAAGAGGAAAAGTTCTAGTGCCAGAAATGAGATTAAATGTCTTCTTTTTATACGATAAAAGTGAAGTGGGAATCTTTACCTTTTTGTTTTAAAAGGTATACAATTTTGATAATGGGAAGGCCAACAGATTTTACAAAGACTGTGAAAAGCAAATTATCTGAGTGCGAATCACGTTTACTAAATGAGACATAGAAAAGGTGCAGCAAAAATGGGCTCATGACTAATTTTCTCAAGTCTAGAATATTACTAACCTCCACCTAGACCGAAATCATGTGAAGCCAGAGGCCAGCTAGCTATAATCAGAAAGGCACTGTGTAGCCGTTTTGTATACCTGGACCCGGAGCGGCAAATAATCTTCACAGAGATCATCCCACAGCTCCTGCAGGTCTGAAAGCTCCAAGGGATAACTCACAGGTGTCTTGTAAAGGGGTTTCAAAGACCTGTTAAGGAAACCGGAACTAACTCCATCTGTCATGCTATGGCCAGGCTTGGCTCCAGGTGGGCTGGATTTCACTGGAATCGGAAGCCTGCTCCCTCGAGGGCTCTGGATGGGCTTATAATCAAGACCTTTAATCATGCTAAGAGCTAACTCCAGCTTGTGATTACACCCATGCGGCGGAGCCTGATCATCTGAACAACAGTCACACTTTCCAAGTTCCTTTGCACTTCTCTCAGTCTCCTCATCTTTCTGTTGTGGAGGGCTAGCCTGGACGCTTGCATCCAAAGATTCCACAGAGGAACCCGGCGTCTCTTCCTCCATGCTTTCTCCATCTGGGGGTACCTTTGTGCTTACTAAGTCGGGTGGCCCAACCTCAGACAACGCTGGTTCTTCAGTGCAAATGCTGGTCGACCACCTGCTAGAAGGGCCACAGGAGATACTTCTGGCCACCTTTCGAGGTACCTTACAAATGGCTTCATAGTCAGAATCAGCAACCCGCAAAGCTGCACAACCACGGCATCTCCTGGGTCGGTTTCCAGGGCCTTCCGAACCATGGCAACTGTGTGGCTCCTGGATCTGATCCTCATTCTCCACCCAGCACTCAAACCCTGAATAGGCGAAGTCCTCCTGGAGCAGTGCGGAGTATCTCGCATCGGGTAAGACGGACATGTCAACCGTCCCATTCCCCGCCTTGACCTCCGGGCCAGAGTCATCGTTATTCTTCCGATACATACTGGCAATGCAGAACTTGAGGCGATCCTTCTCCAGTAGCAGCTTTTGCAAGCGCTCAATAGAAAGTGCTTCGATCCGGGCAATAACCGTGTCGAATCGATAGATTCGATCAAGCATGAAAGCACACTTGCTGCAAGCGAACTCGGCTTTGCCATCGCGGGGGACATCCTTGCCCAGGACGTGCGAAAGCAGAACCTGGAGGTTGAGCTTGGACGCCGTGTGGAAGATCCAGCGCCGCTGGTTTCCACACAGCTCTCGGGCACAGATCCTGCAAATCTCCTTCATCTTCCCTCCTAGCGGGTGCCAAGCTACCTGAGGCGGCGGCGGCGGCGGCTACTGGATGACCACTCAATGGCTCTTCGCCGCGCTCTGTCTCCCGCCTCAGTGGTCTCCGGTCAGCATGGCACAGCCCAGTGGGGTCCCCACTCTGCAGGGGTGCACCCCTACCCCGTGCGCCGGCTCCGGGTACCACAGCCGTCAGCCCCGCCCCTTGGGCAGGGGGCGGGCGTGGAAACGTCTAAGAGGATGCTGAGTGACAGAGGCGCAGGCCGCGCTCCGACCCTGCCATGTCTCTCCCCAGCTGTCTCTCCCGCCAGCCCGCCGCGTCCTCAACGTCCTACCCTTTTAACAGACTCGGCTCCCGGAGCAGCAGCGGCCGGCCGCGCAGACTCAAAGGCTCGGGGATTGAGAATCAGATTTCAAGATGGCGCCAGCGCCTCCACGTCTGCGGCTTCCACAAGGCTCCTCTGGGAGCTGTAGTCCGGTCAGCGGGCTCCCGGCTCTGCGCATGCGGGGTGGCCAGCACGCCCCTCGCCCCAACTCCGGTTGCGCACCTGGCTCACTGGGAGTGCAGAGCAGAAAGCACTACTGGCGCCGACCACAGCCAGCCGCTTTTATCTGCTAAGAGCTCACCTGAAAGGCGCACCAGTGCCCTCAAGGATCCTCCCGCCTCTGCAGGATGTCCCGAGGCTCCTCCTCGCGGGGAGGAGAAGGCCGAATCCCCTCCCCCTGGATCCTCGGACAGTGCCACGTCCTCCGGCTGCCAGCCGGGCAGCGCCGCTAGGTACCGCTGCGCGCCGCCGCCGCCTCCAGCCAGCAGCCCCACCTCTCCCGGCCTCGCCCCGCCTGGGTTCTAAGGCCCTGAGACTGCGAGGCGGGCGGGAGAAGGCTTGGTAACGGAGGGGCGGGTGGGGCGGGGCCGTGCAACCCTTACCTCGACTCTGAACCGGAATGTCCAGAAAAGAGTAGAGGACTGTTTCTTCCTTGATGTGGGTGGGGGAGGGTTAGCACCCTTGGGTGACTTTGCCCTACTTTCAGTAAAAAAGAGCACTGAGCAGTCACCTGAGAAAGCATCCTGCAAATACAATGTGAATCTGGTTAACCAAGATCTTGAAGATAGTAGAAGGGAAATGTGCGTTTTCAAGGATCAGCCAGCCGCGAGTGGATTACCGCCACTGAAGTCTGTTTCCCTCAGGTAGAGGGCATTCATTATTTTAGGGCAGGGGAGGGTAGACAAACACTAGCGCAAAAGACGGAGCTCCTTTCAGCAAGAGCTGGAGTGTCTGGGAATGCAGCTCGCGCCAGAAAGGACTGGGAACTTCACTGACTTCGGTGAGAACCCTGTCTTACTCAGCACTGTACAGTGGTAGGTCCTCCACCCTTGGGTCTAAAGCTTGGATTGCACACAAAGAGGAGGGAAGCTAGAACCCTGACTAGGTGGGATGCAGGTACCTCCGGCCATTTTTTTTTTTTTGGAGTGCAGTGGCGCGATCTTGGCTCACTGCAACCTTCGCTTCCCGGGCTCACGCCATTCTCCTGCCTCAGCCTCCTGAGCAGCTGGGACTACAGGCGCCCGCCACCACGCCCGGCTAATTTTTTGTATTTTTTTAGTAGAGACGGGGTTTCACCGTGTTAGCCAGGATGGTCTTGATCTTCTGACCTCGTGATCCGCCCGCCTGGAACTCCCAAAGTTCTGGGATTACAGGCTTAAGCCACCGCGCCCTCCGGCCATTTTTAATAAAGAATTCTCTTCCTGACCTGAGAGGCATTCAGACACGGAACAAGAGGAACAACCGCAGCAATCACTTGCAGTCCCCTAGAGCAGGTCATTTCTCAGTTCTAATCATGTTAAATTTATTTATTTATTTATTTATTTATTTATTTATTTATTTATTTATTTTTTATTTTTTATTTTTTTTTACTAACTTGACCTTGTAAGCTAAGGCCAGCAACGTCTAAGTTTTTCTGAACCTCATCCCCAGGACAGAGCCCATCCTTCTAAACCTGAAGACATCCAAATGCCATCTATGAGAGTTCATAATAAGCCCCCCAAACTTCATATTGAAGACCAAATGAGATAATTTTGAGGAAATGCTTTAACTATGTTTAGCTCATTAAATAATGGCTATTATTATTTTAATATGAATTGGAATATTTTAAGTCACTTTAAAACATTATGGGGCTCTGCCTACATAAGATTGTATTGTTCTCTTAATCACCAAAGCAAAATCTTGTAGCTCTATTGTAAGAGAGAAAGACAGTACTTAGAGCTTTGGGCTTAGTAGGCGATATGATTTGAATATATGGCCCCACCAAATCCCATGTTGAATTGTAATCCCCAGTGTTGGAGGTGGGGCCTGGTGGGAGGTGTTTGGGTCAGGGGAGCAGATCCCTTTTGGGTTTGTGCTACCCTTGCAATAGTGAGTGAGTTTTTCTGAGATCTGGTCATTTAAAAGTGTGTGGTGCCTCCACCGCCCCATCTTGCTCCTGCTCTGGCCATGTGACTTGTTTGCTCCTGGTTCACCTTCCACCATGATTGTAACCTTCCTCAAGCCTCCCCAGAAGCCAAGCAGATACCAGCACCATGCTTCCTATAAAGCCGGCGGAACTGTGAGCCAATTAAACCTCTTTTCTTGATACATTACCTGGTCTGAAGTATTTATAGCAATGCAAGAATGGCCTAATATCATAGGCTGTAGAATTTTTGCATATGTAATTTCATCTACTGTGTGTATTCTGACTCAAAAACCAAAAATATAAAAGCGTTTCAAGTAAAACTACAGCTGCATTTTGCCTGCCTCTAGGTATGTGAGCTTCAAAGTTGGAAGAAATTAAGCAACGTGCTTTGGAATCTATGGTGATCTATAGAAAGGCAAAGAGTTTCTGGACTTACCCTGACTGATGGAAAGACAGACTGCCTGCCAGGACACTACCTTGCCGTACCCAGTCTTAAGTGTAATCAAGATCTCATTTTTTACTGTCAATGCAAGCCACATTTTCCTATTAGGAAAATGTGAATGAAAGAAAGTGCTCTTCAAGAGCAAACTCTGAATTATACTTTGGGTTATTCTCTGTTCCTCAAAAGGATTTTGCATCTAACTGATAGTCTCCAAATTTTAATGACAGTATATAGATAGCTTGGTGTAGTCATACAGGTCAATACAAATGGTGAAAAGGCAATTTGCCATTGAAGAATATGTTTGCTATAAGTAAAGATCAATATACTGAGAAAACTATACATATCTAGACTTCCAAAAACAGATGGGAATAAACCACTCAGCAATCAGAAAATGTGAAGATGGCAGTCTGTTCACTTCCAGAGAAAATAGTTCAAAACTGTATCTCAAAGTCGATATAAGCTGTTGTACTAGAATTAGTCCCTATATGAGCATTTGGTATTATGAAATAAGGTGTTCCCAATGAAAAGATCACTGGTATATAGAAAATAAAAATTAAAAAATAAAACTTAGAAAAATTATGTGATAATAAATTTTGCACTTCTTGGTCCTTATCATTTTTATCTTGTGGTCAAGAGTTTGCAGTTGAACTGGTTACCTATGGTGGGGCTATGCAAGGACATTTACTTTTTATTCTATATACTGTGTATCATTTGAATTTTGGACAATGAATGTTTATTCAGGTATTTTAGATTTTATTTAATTTAGAAAATATTTTATAGTTAAAATAAGGGCTGCCAATTTAACACACTAATATAGGGTCTAAGTGGTAAAACTTGAACCTAAAATAAGAATTTTTATACTACATATGATGATATATAATGTAAGAAGATAACTTATATAAACAAAAGTTCAAAGGGGATCCACAAGTTATTAGTAATGGTTATCTCTAGAGAGTGGAATTATGGATATTTATTTTCTTTTTTCCTTATTTTCTATAATTTTTTACATTATGTATTACATATTTTACATAACTTAACAGTAAGTACTTAACTGCTTTTGTGATAAGAAAAAAATATAATTGTTACTAAGAAAAAAGGTAGATGAAACACATTTTAGTGTATTCATACAATACAATACGGTACTAGCCAGCAATGAAAAAGAATGAACTCACATACATGCACCATGGATACATCTCAAAAACATCTTAAGTGAAACAAGCCATATGCAAATGAGTACATCCTGTGTGATTCCATTTATTTGAAGTCTGACAACAGGTCTACGGCCGTACTACCCTGAATGTACCTGATCTCATCTGAAGTCTAAGAAACAGACTATAGAAAAAACAGATCTATAGTGATATAAGTCAGGAAGTGGTTGAATGGTGAAAGACAGGGTGAGAAGTGATTGAAAAGGGGCACAAAGAAATCTTCTGAGGTGATGAAGCTGTTCTGTATCTAGTTTTGGATGAAGATAACATAGGTGTGTAGAGTTGTTGAAGCTCATTGAATGGGGCACTTAGATCTGTAGATCGTGTACATATTAGTATATTTCAATCAAAAAGATTAAAAGGAGTAAATAAGTTAAAACTATGTATTGCCCCAAAAATTTTAATTTGAGGGATTTCTTTGGTAGAAAGTCACCCCACTTTAAGAACAGTTTTGAAAATTAGGAAAATACTATAAAATATAGCCCAGAAGAAATTCTGTAAAAGACCCAATTACAAATTAAAAACTTAAGCCTATCCATATGAGCTTTTTTTTTTTTTGAGACGGAGCCTCACTCTGTCATCCAGGCTGGAGTGCAGTGGCGCAATCTCGGCTTACTGCAACCTCTGCCTCCCGGGTTCCACTGCGCCCCACCCTAGTATAATATTTTATATGCATGTGTGCACCAAACACTTATGATTGAAGCAAGGCATGTTGTTAAGGTGAGACTTAGGGCTTCTGTAATGATTTAGTATAAAATTATTACTTCTAAAACTTAGTGAAGGCACATAACAAAAAATTTGAGAATAAGCTTCATATTATGATTAAACAAATTATTAATTTTATATATCAACAGTTCACCCTGAACATTGATTGATAAATACATTTATAAGCACTTCTTTGCTTTATGGCCTAGGTTAAGTCACTTATATCTGGCTTTTAATTTCCTGATCTACAATGAAATATGTTGAATTTAAATGGCAGTTTTCAAACTTAAGCATGCATCAGAATCACCTGGAGGGCTTGTTAACATAAATTATTGGGACCTACCCCCTTGAGTTCCTGACACAGTAAGGTCTGCGGTGGGGCCCAAGAATTTGCATTCCCGACAAGTTCCCAGATCACGTTGATGCTGCTATCTGGGAACCACACTTGGAAAACCACTGAAGGAGAACTATCCTAAGCTGTATCAGACAAAAGATCAGAACTTCTGCAGATAGAAAAGCACATCAATGAAGAACTACTTACAAAATCTATGTTGAATTTAGAGAACTGTATCCGCATTTGGAACAAGATTTATAAATATTACTGTGGTGTGGGGTCTTTCGCACTATCTCTGTTTTGATCTCTAAATGTTGCAGTCACCATTGTCTCTTTTGCACTCCTTGTGTGGCAACTGGGTGGTAGTGTTCTAAGACCTTCTTCTGGGCTGAGAGGGAGTTTCCAAAAGAATTGGAGAGGTGGAAAATCCCCATGTCCCAAACCAGTTGTATTAGGTTTCACTGCCCTAGTTATGACATGGGAAATAACTATTCTAATTACTAAAAAACTATGCACCAAAAGAAAAATGTGATTCTGGCAGAGAAACTAAGGCAGATGAGAAAATGCAAGAATGTCAAAGTAAAGCCAGTTAGGCTTTGTGGTAACACACAGGCAGGTGCGTGATTTCCCTGTGCTCTTTGAAAACCTTTAAGAAGTCAGAAACAATCATGCTTTCCATTAATTAACAACACAGCATTTTGAAATGCTTGTTTTAAAGCCAGGAGATTTCCAGTTCATCTGCAGATTATAGTAGTATGCTTCTCAGCAAAATCCATCTAATAGTAAACATTAGAGTCTTTCAAGTTATTAAATACCCATAGGTCGTTCAGTAAATTTTAAAGTATTTGTTAATCAATGAGCAAGAATGCAAACATACCTTTTTTTCTCTTTTCAGTGAACTTTCAGTTTAGTTAAAAGGGAGAAAAGGTGCACGCTACAGTTAGAACAATTGACTGGTAAACTAAATGGTACTGAGTTCAATTTAGTGTGAGTACAGAAAAAGTTGAGGTTAGTATGGGCTGGTATAGTTGAAGGGACAAGAGTGGCACTTGAGATGGGTGTTAGGATGAAGGAGGCCAAGGAAGGGACTCCAGCAAAATAAAACAGCTTCATTAAAAGCCACGGAACTTGGGTTAAACGCAGTGCTAGCCTGTAGGTAAAGGGAGATGTTGGGGATTTTTGAATGACCAGGTTCATCCACACATACATCTAATCCTCTATAGTTGTTCATTCAAAGAACATGTATCAAGAGCCAACTGTAAGCCAGACACTATGCTATGGAGTGCCTCGGCAACTAGAATTTGGTTAATGTTTTGACAAAGGCAAAAGAACTTGGACTTAATGTTATGGACTTAAGCAGAGAATGACATGATGAAAACCCTTTTTTAGGAAGATGACCCAGGCAACAGGATGGATTACACTTTCAAGGAGCTTTGGGATAGCTACAGGAAGATCTGCTAAAAAGACCCTACAGTTATTCATGTGTGAGGTAATAAAGGTCTGGCATAGAAATGGAAAGAAAGTGGTAAATATGAGAATCACCTTGAAGAAATGAACAGCAGGACTTGATGGTGTATATGCAGAGAGGACAAAAGAAAAGAAAGGGTTTGAGATGGAGATAACGGTTTGGAGTCTGGAAGACTGGTAGAAAGTAGCATAAATAAACAAATGTAGGAGTTGGAGCATCTGTTTGCAAAAAAATAACACTTATTTGGGACATGCTGAGGTGACTGAGACAACTAAGTGGAATACTAAGTGGAGCAGTTGCACAGTCAAAGCACAGGTGGGAGGGGGAAGTTTCAAGAATGATAGGGATGGTTAACATTGTCAAAATCTAGAGAGAAATTAACAGGACAGATAAGGTGAGGCATAACATTTCCTAATATGACTGGGTGCAATGGGTAGACTTGTAAACCAAGTGGATTTGAAAACATCAGAGTAGACCTTTACTTCCCAGAATCCTTCCCTGTCAAGCCAAAAGCTAACTTCTTTTCTATCCTTTTTCTGAACATCTCTAGCATGTGTATCTTGCTTCACATTTTCACTGCACTTTCCATTTTCAGGTTCTTGAAACCTGATACCTGAATTGTATCACACAGCCTTAGAAGCTTACCACTGTAATTATCGTGCACGTTATTTGCAGAACATTCACAGTAAAGATCCATCATTGTGCACTACCTGTAGGTTGACATTTCGTTATCTCTACAAAAAGATCCTAACCTACTTCCCTTCCAGCTTCATCTCGTACTTCTTCCCTAGGCAGATGGTGAGAGGGTAAATGTTTGGATATACATTTGTTTTTTTACCTGTGTAATGTATCTCTGCCTCCCTCTTTTCTTTTTTTTCTTTTGTGAGACGGAGTTTCACTCTTGTTGCCCAGGCTGGAGTACAATGGCGCGATCTCGACTCACCGCAACCTCCACCTCCCGGGTTTAAGTGATTCTTCTGCCTCAGCCTTCCTGAGTAGCTGGGATTACAGGCATGCACCACCACACCCAGTTAATTTTGTATTTTTAGTAGAGACAGGGTTTCTCCATGTTGGTCAGGCTGGTCTTGAACTCCAGACCTCAGATGATCTGCCCACCTCAGCCTCCCAAAGTGCTGGGATTACAGGCGTGAACCACCGCGCCTGGCCCTCTCCTTCCCTCTTTTCTAATCTGATGATCAAGCCCTTGGCATTTCCTTGACTCTGGAATTTTTGCAGAGCAAAGAGCAGAGGATGTTTGAAGCCAAGTGCATTTCTAGACTTTTATGAAATTTTAAGCCCATTGAGAAGATTGAGCCAGATGTCCCATTGGTGAAGAGAGGAGAGAGAAAAGTTTTTGAAGTCAATGAAGAGGAGAGAGTGACATTTCACCCAGATGGAAAGAGACTGGAGGTCAAAGAGTAACAAGTACCCACCTCCATTCCATATCAGTGCCCTGGAGAAGCAGCAGGACCTCAGAGAGGGAAGTAATGGGGTGACTTGGAAAGGCTGCACTTTTCAGCAGGGGATTCTGGCTCCATAAAAGGTTCAATATAACAAGCTTCTAGGGTTGGCAAAAGCCTGCTTACTGAGGCAGGGATGCTTTAGTGGGAGATCGATGATCAGAGTAGTCTCCTTGGTGCTTTGGCACCTGGTGAAACCTACGGACCTTTAACTAGCTGAGAAAGTAGGGATAGGAGGAAATACCAAACGCATGAAATTGGATTTCTCACCATCCTGACTCAGACAGGGACTTTAAATTGATGACTGCCTTAGATTTATGAACTAAGAGTCATACACTGTGTACCTTTTGTTCATTGGTGCTCAGTCCTAGACCCTTTTCACCTCTCTGTTCTCTTCTGGTGTCATCTCATCCTTTCCCATCTTTATACTGGTGGCTTCCAATTTATATTTTTATTGTAGAATTCTCCTCTGAGTGCCACTCTCAAATACCGGGTTACCTATTTGATATCTGCATGTGGATGTGTCATAGACATCTCAAAATTACCGTAGGAAAGACTGATCTCCTGATTGTTGTCTTCCCCTTGTTTAAAGTGCCTCCCTTTCCTCCTAGTACTTTATATGAGGAGTCAGAAAACTATGGACTGTGGACGAAATCCAGTCCCCACCTGTTTTTGCAAATAGAGTTTTGTTGGAATACAGCCATGTTCATTCATTTGTGTTATGTATGACTGTTTTTATGCAACAATGGCAGAAACTTTACAGCCTGCACAGCTTATTTACTATCTGGCCCTATACAGAAAAAGTCTACCAATCCCTGCTCTTTGCTTTCTTCAATGTACTTATCACAATTTGAAGTTATATATTTATTTGATTATTTGGTTATTTATCTGTCTCCTTCATTAGAAGGTAATTCTCTAGTACCTAACAGCACCATTGCCTAGTCATGGTAAGCACTCAATAGTCATTGACTAGAATATATGAATGAGAAAATGAACTATTATATACTAAGATTTTATTTTGGTTTTTTGCCTTAGCACAAAATTTTCATCCTTCCTTACCCTCTAATGACTTCGTATCTTTTTTGTTGTTGTTGTTTTGTTTCGAGATGGAGTCTTGCTCTGTTTCCCAGGCTGGAGTGCAGTGGCACTATCTTGGCTCACTACAACCTCCACCTCCCAGGTTCAAGCAATTCTCCTGCCTCAGCCTCCTGAGTAGCTGGGATTACAGGCACGCATCACCACACCTGGCTAATTTTTGTATTCTTAGTAGAGGCAGGGTTTCACCATGTTGGCCAGGCTGGTCTCAAACTCTTGACCTCATGATCCACCCACCACGACCTCCCAAAGTGCTGGGATTACAGGTGTGAGCCACTATGCCTGGCCCTAATGACTTCATATCTTAAGTAATAGAGTTCCAAAATAATGAGTCCCCTCAACTTCTTTGCCCTCTACTCTATCCTCCTTTCAGATTAAGCTTTCTAAAGTAGAGCTCAGATATCACTCTCCTTCAAAGAAACCTGGAGACCCAATGACTTGCCCATTAATCATAAACTTCTTTACCTGCCTCTTAAAGTTCTCTGAATCTGGCTCCACTCCATTTTTCTGTCCCCCTATATTCTATTCCTGCTACTATTTCTCTACCCTGAACTTCCCTACCTCTATACTTCATACACTTGGAATATTCTATCACTACCACCTCCACCTGTCACAATCCTATCCACCCGTCAAGTATTTCCTTCAAGCTGCCTTTCTAAGTACCACCAAAAGACATCTTTGTCTTCTTCCATCTTACAAAATACTTTTTGTACATACAGTAATTTGTATGTCATTTCTCCATCCTGCCTTCTCCCCATTAACTGGTAAGCTACTTAAGAAAAGGAACCACAGCTTTCTCATCTTGGTATCTGCTATGGTTTGAATGTTTGTATTCCCCTCCAAATTCATATGTTGAAATCTTAACCCCCAGCATAACGGTATTAGGAGGTGGGGGCTTTGGGAGAAATTAGTGTCCTTATAAAAAAGAGACCTCAGAGAGTTAGCTAGTCCCTTCCACCATGTGAAGACACAACAGGAAATCCATAAACCAGAAAGTGGGCCCTCACCAGACACTGAAAATGCCAGTGCCCTGATCTTGGACTTCCCAGCCTCCAGAACTGTGAGAAATGAATTTCTATTGTTTATAAGCCACTCGGTCTGTGGTATTTTGTTATAGCAGCCTGAGTGGACTAAGACTGCTTCTGAAGTATTTGGAACAGTATCTTTCTAGATCTCAATAAATAATCATTGAATGAATGAATAAAGTAATGCCTTTCATTTTCATCTCTACTTAGTAAAATCCTACTCATTCCTCAGAGACCAAAATCTTTGCTTCTGAACCCCATCCATGATGATTTTTCCTTTCTGTACTGCCTTGTATTTTTTTCATCAGTGACTTTCTCCTATTGTAATCTCTAGAAGGCAGAGACTAAATCCTATACATTTTTGTGTTCTTCCTTCACCTAACAGTACGTCGTGCATTACAAGTGCTCAATAAATATTTTTCATTAAGTTGTAAAGCAGCTGCCTATTTTTCCACTTCCTTTGCTGCTCAAAAGGATTAGAGTAATGATTGTTTTAGCTGATAAGGCCTGCTTCGGAGACACATTATTAATGAAGGTTGTCTGGGAGACAATAATGTTGAACGGAGATTTGTAAATGAGTCTCCAGCTTCAACATTCATCAGTGAAAGAAGGCGATACTGAAAAGCTACTCTAAAAAAATCTCCTTATATGAAGTTGTCCAGAGCTGCCTGAGCTACTAATCCCTGCAAGGTTTTCAGTCTCTGCCTTGAGCGTTTAGAGCACATTCTTGCCTTAACCTCCAAGCAGATCTCTCCATGGTAACACAGGAATGTTTGCTATTTTAGGAAATATGCCTCACTGCATGCAGTACTATTTACATTAAGTTCCAAACAAGGCATAAATGCAACAGCTTGACTGTGCTAATTTGTGTGAGTGGGAAGGTCTCACTTACTTAATGTGGGCCTCTCCCTAATTGTGTTATCCTGTTTCATTTTATAAGCCAATAACAGTGAGATTACATGTTAATAAATTTTGCTTATCTTATACTGAAGGAGAAATGCAGAGAGAGAAAAAAGGCAACAAGCAAAACAAGAATTCCTCCAGACCTCCCTTTGCAAGGGCATCATTTTTTCTGCCTTCACACCCTCCAGGTCTGGTTTCATTTAAAACCTTCATTGAGATGAAGCTTCTAACATGTAGAAGGAAATAATATCGATAACTGAAACAATTGCTAGCTTTTCCCTGCAACTTTGTAGATACCTTTACTGAGGAAGAGAAAAATGCTTTGTAAACTTTATTAGATTTTCTGACTCCCTAGTGAAAAAGATGTGGACAAGATGTCACAACCTCACATCAAAAAGCTCCTCAACACTCTGATCACACATACTATTGATCTGAATGGACATCAAGAAGGATTGGAAGGAAATATGGAATGATGTCAATCAATGGCATGTCTAGTTAGTGGTACTTTTTTTGTTTTGTGAGAATTATAGATGTTCATAAATATTGTACAAGTGCGCTCCCACTAAAATGAATGTTGTAGAATGTTTTGGTAGAATGGAAAAGGAAAACAGCTAAAAAGACTGTAAGATCAATTAAATAATCTTTATCAAAAGTGTCTGTCTTATTTGAGGGAATGAAGACTCTGAATGAACTTCCTGTACTCAGATATTATAATGAGTATATTATACTCATTATACTCCAGACTTTCATACTGGGATCACATGAGAAATAGTTATCTGTGGGATGTGGGGTCAATGAGTGTTCTTCACCTGGACAATTCAGACCTAGAAATGCAAGATCTGTGAGCTCTTCTTTCTTCTAGGGCTCAGCTGTTTGTGGTATTCTCAATTGTGAAGTGTAGGTGGAATTAAAGGACATGAATAAGTCTTTAGAACTCAAGCTCCTCCATCCTCCAGCTGAATCAGTGAGGGATTCCAGGGATGGCTTCACTGGAGTTGAGGAGATTCTTTAGCCTCTGAAGAATAGGCCCAGAGCTTAGAAATTGAACTTTTGCCTTCCACATTGTAAGGGTCTTTCTTCTGTGGTGACAGTTGGCATGGCAGACAAGGTTTGAGTAGAATACAGTGGAACTCTAACTGTTACAGCGGAAGTATACTGTTAGCAGACAAGGATAACACCCACAACATAGGCTCCAAGAGTCACAAATACCAAGGTTCATCATACATTACCTGTGCAGAGGGGAGA